ACATTTCTCCTCAAGATTTTGGGAAACAATAAAAATCTCGGAACAAAACTAATGACAGCCGTCTGTTTGTATTTAAATATAAAACAAGCTTGACCCATAAGAATGATCATGAAGTGAGATCGAACCTAACTACCCACAACAGATGTGTGCAATAAGTATTTTATCTGCGAAGTTTTTAAATCTGACCATAGATCTAGCGAATGAAACATGCCCCGAAGCCCTCCTTTTCCCTTTTTTTTCTTTCCCTCTTTTTTTGATGCACCACATTTAATTTTTTATACAAACACGCACTAAGACACTGACACGCGGATATGTTTCAAATCGGGTCAGAACTCATCGGCATGAACTTGATGTAGATTCAAAACTTAGGCGTCAATGACTGGAGGACAAAGATGCTGGAATATTACAGTTTATGCATTATTACTGTTTATGCATAGGTAATTGTCATCAGGTGCACAGCGCCAATTGCATAATCGGCGCACAGTGGATCGAGTCAATAAGAGAGGTCGGGCATGAAATTTTTTACTAAAACTGTAAATTTCTATGTTTATTTCGTCACATTTTAAACTTTAAAGGGTGCTCCGAAAAGAGTTTTTCACGAGAAAACCAATGGAACCACTTCTGGGACCTCAAAGTTTTGTATAAACGGAGTTATAAGCGATTAAAGTTTCCAAATTTCGTTCGATCCCTCCTATTGACTTGATCCTTTGTGCGGCGCCTATTACTCACTAGTTACGGGACAAAACAGCTTCGAGAATACGTACTTAAATAAACAACAAATAAGATAGGTGATGATATCTGCATAGGTGGAAATTTTTTCTCTACGGATGGAGGGGGGCATGGGAGTCATGGGACAGCACCACGAAGGTGAATAACATCAAATTTCCCGCGGCGGCAAGGGGGAGGGAAATCCCGCAGGATTTTCCCCGTTACAGTCACAGTCCCGTGAACACGATGCCAGAAATAGTCTATTGGAGTACCAGTCGTGGATGCTGGGTTAGAAAATATTGCGGTGAAATACGTCCAGTTTTGATACAAGGAAAAAAAGGAAGAATGCCTCTAAAACCCATTAACCGCATCCAATTCTAGTCTCTAACTTGATTGTATTACCAGACCTATCTCAATAATTCAAATTGGACTTGAATGAAATAACAAACAAGCGAAAATTAACATTTTGCACCGTTGCGGTTGGACTTAATGGTTTCGTGCGGATCAGTGGCGAGGCGTACGGTCAATTATCGATATTTCTCCATTTAGAGCTATGGTAAAGAATCGATTAACAAGGTGTTTGTTGTGGCTCCTTGTTTGTCGATCTTTTTCCATAGGTTTAAATGACAGATAATCGATACATCGCAAGAAACGCCACGCCACTTGGGCGTATTAATCATTTCACATTCAATGATTCGCTTGCATCCTGATGCACGGCGTTTATAAAGGTGAGCATTTGAGGGGGTCGGAGTCAGAGGTCAACGCTAAAAAATTTCACCCGAAGATTATTTATTTCTCGATAAATTAACATGTGTAAGTTTGGAGCGTCCTCATAGGGAAGGTATGGACTTTAGAGGATTTAGTTCTGATAGGTTCAGGTATCATAGGCTCTAGGCTCTGTGGCCCTTAAGTGCCCAAAAATCAAATTTTAAATTTTCGAGGAATTAAAGTCGAACTAAAATGAAAATTCATGCACAATTTTGAAAGAGGATTTTCAGCCGTTTTTGAGTGAATAGATGAAAACCTTTGCTGCAACTTTGCAGCGTTGCAATGTAATTAAACACATCTAATTCTCGCCCTTTCACATGTGCATAAATGCGAAAAGAGAAGAAGGAAGGAAGGAAAGAAAGAAGAAAAGAAGAGAAAATATGAGCCTCTGTCATATCGCGAGAGCAACTCCTCCGCCCACCTTCTCACATTGAACGATATTAAAGATGCAAATCGATTTTAGGATTAGAAATTATGGCAATAAACTGCGTGTCTGATTTCGAGAGAAAAAAACGAAGGAAATATCTCAAGCAGATTTTGCATGTTGGCTTTCTTTGCTTAAAGTCTTCTTTCATCAGGATATTTTTTCAGCTCGGTCCATAATGCATGACATTTCTCGAAGAATCCTTAGACGCGCATAAAGAACCTTATTTATTCAAATTTCTCCAAAAGTAGTGCTTTCATGATTAGAAAACCTGATATCTGCTGTGCGAAGTAGAAACGCCGTCAGATCCCCCAGGAGTTGCCAAATTTCCCCGAATTAAACAGTCATTTTTGAGGAAAGTTATGAATATTCTTCCTTGAAATTTTTGCATATTTTAAATCAAATTGCGAATGAAATTCTCCGAAAAACTTGAATATAAATATCCAACAGTTTCATTGTAAATTTGTATTTTATCGGATGAGATTTGGCAATGACTGATGGCTCATACGGCGTTTTTCCTCAGCACGGCCGATATCAGCGAGAGACTGCTTAAAATATTCTTTCAAAATATGAATATTTTCCAGAACGTTCGGAGAATGCTGGAAACAGGTAGTTGGATAATAAAAATAGAAATTATTCCTGAGGTTAGCAGGGAGAATTTACAGCCGTACGCTTCTTTATGCGTGAGCGACTTTGGATATTTTCCGAGTTGTGTTTTTCCACGAGCGGTTGCGCGGGTGCGGTTGAATCGTATTATTCCAGGAACTCCTGGAGCACGCGCTGACTGATTTGTTTTGAGTTGTGTCAAATGAATATTAATATACTTGGCAAAGCTCGATGACGGCCCACCACGGAATTGTTCCAACATTCCTAGCTTTCGGTGCAACCGGTTCCAGGTGCGAGCGGTATGAGAGTGATCTCCCAGCGGAAGTGGAGCCTTGGTTAACATGAACACAAAATATTTTTGCTACCAGACGAAAAAGGAGTATTTTACGTGCAATTTAGGACACTTCAATGAAGTCGTGACAAACCGTATCCATCGCAGCATGAAATTTTAAATTTAAAAAGCTCAGTTTTGAGAAAAAGGTGAATAAGAAATTATGGATCTGCCATGTTCAGGGTACTTTATTTAATTTTATAAAATTATAATGAAATTTTACGTTTTTTTTAACACATACATTAACTGAACCACTCACAATTCAATTTTTTTTAGCAAGTTTCACGTGTACGTCTTTAAATCCGATTTTTTATCCATCTTGACAAACGATCTGCTTAAAAATTTACCTGCGTGGACTAAGGTCCTATTTTCAGATTAAAATCCTGAAAGTTTCTCATCGGAGATACGCATTTTTTTTTTACTTTAATCGTCGATATACTCCCCATGAAAGGTGAAAGTCAGTATTAGGTTTGGGGCATTTTGACAAAGCATCTATTCAACCTACTAGAGTCCGATCAATAATGCCAGATATTTATTACTGACTATTAGATTTCTTTCGGATTGATTATAAACATTGATAGACAAAGCGATAGACAAAGGAGATAAGAATAAATTGGAGCAATAATCCTAGTGGTGATTGCAATGGACGATCATTACTAGAGAAAACGACGATGCAGTTTTCGAAACGATCGAATTTTCGTTGGACTGAGGAAAAGTGAGACAAATATGTAAGGACTAAATCCTGGTCTGAGTCAAGTCGGCCATTTGTTCTCAAGACCATATTTTAATGAATGCATCTTTTGGATGAGAAAAAAGAGGAGGAAAAAGGAGAAACTAAAGAAGAGTAAAAAAAAAATCCAAACTAATATGCAATATCCGTAAAAGTTTTTACGCAAAGAAACAAGTCATTCACCTTGTGTTTTGAATCGCAATTTTTTGCTTCGGTGTTATTGACGCGTCATATTTTCACTTGACCTGCATTCTGCAATGAGGAACTACTATTTTTATCTCAGACGTAAAAGCATCTATCTGCATCGAGAAACTAATTGCACATATGTTGTTCCTAAAATGAGTCCAAAATATTTGTTTTCTAATTGCATAATGTAGTCCAATTTATTTTATAATCTGAAAATCGTACCTCGTTTGTTTGTAAAAGGATGAAAATTTTCAACGTAAAAGATAATCGGTTTCACTCTGTGATCGGACTGCATTTTGCACTAAGAAACTACCGTTTTTTGTTCATTTCAGAAACATCACGTGCGTTATTGGTTTTTTGTGAATGTGTATGATTTTCTGGATGAGTCGCAAGTATTGGTTCCTTTGTTGTATAATGAATTCAAATTATTTTTAATCATAAAAATATATTAGTTTTGTTGCATTGTTCGTCAGAACTACAAGTTTCAATAAGTACATACATACAAGTCGCTTTACAGCACTCCCTCGCGCTCTACGACTCCTAACCTCCACTGCTCTCTTTCAAACCACAAATCTTGGGGGATTGAGCACCTTAACATTTCCGCTTCAATCCCCTCCCTCCAACCTTTCATTGGGCGCCCTCTGCGTCTTCTCCCATAGGAGGAACCCAATCAAGGACCTTCTTCGGCAACCTGTCTCCTGCCATTCTCTAGACATGACCATACCAAATGAGTCGTTTTGTCATAATGTCATCCACGATGGTCTGCTCAATAAGTAACTATAATAATACTGACTTATCCATAAATGCACCTCCCTGTACGGGAAAACTAATGGTCAATTTTTCTTTCTAAAATGAGTCGGAAATATATGCCGTGTCCGTGGTTCGGAAGAGAGCATTTCTATATGAGCCACGATTAGTACATGATCTTATCTGTGACGAGTTTCAGCCTAAAATGCAATTACTCCAGAGGCGGATCCAGCAGGTTGGCTACACTGGCTTTCCTCTATTTAAATGTGTGATGAATAATAATTGATTCTTACTGGAGCACCTGACCCCTCCCAAATCGATACATTTCCTTAGATTTAAATTGCGAAAAAGCAATGTTACCAATTTCCTGGATCTGTCCATGATTACTGCTATTTCTCTCTCACTGATTAAAGCGTCATGTGTCGAAACTATTGTTTGTAATTTTTTTAAAATATATTTTGCAGATCTTGAAACTTACGTGACCATAATTTTTGTTTCAGACCTGAAGCGCATTCGAAATATTCCCGTGGAGGACAACTGAGCGAATATCATCTGGTCTCCTGGAGTCATGAAAAATCGATGGAAACTATCTAGCTAGAAAATTGACGTCCAGTATTTACTCCCTGTCCAACTCGCTTAGACAAGATTCCGTAGCTTTCGCTAGACCGTTGCAAAAACAGGAGAATCTAAGAATCAAAATTTCTGAAAACCACAGTTTTTGAGAGCGGAGAAGATGGCGCCGAAATCGCAAGACACCATGACCAGCGAACACAACAGGATGGTCCGTCCGGTTCAGACGGTGAAGAACATGAGAAAGTCGAAATTTTACAAGGACCCTTTGGCCCTTTTGGGCGAGAGGAGTTTCAAAGACCCTGAGGAGATCCCGGCTGACGTCACTGGAACTCCGATCCAGGAATTTTACCGGGATGCTACGATCTTCCTGACCGGGGGTACAGGGTTTATGGGGAAAGTGCTCGTTGAAAAGTTACTGAGATCCTGCCCACATATCAAGCATGTGTACCTCCTCATCAGGCCCAAGAAAGGGAAGGAAGTTCACGAGAGACTCGATGACATTTTCTCGGACAGGGTGAGTCACAATTTATTTTTGTTTGTACTTATTGATACATTTTCCTTTGTGTGAAATTTTCCTCGACAAGTCTACAAGTTCTGAGTACTAACGGAGCGAAAAAATTCGGTTAAATAGAGCAATGGTTATTCGACAAGTGGATTATGAGATTTTTTCCGATGGCTGTTTTGACCTACGTTTATTTTTTATTTTTCCGTGAGTCGGGAGTTTGATATGGACGTATTTTTGCAAAACGGAACCAGAGAAAGCTGGAAAAGAAGCGGTGTGCTCGTTACACCTTGTCTCTACGGGACGTTTCATGAGATTTGTCCCAAGTTGGATATTGCAGGAATGAAACTTCTGGGCTTCTTCCCTGTTGAACAAAACAACAAAATTTCTTCTCTTTCTCTCTGAGTCTCTTATCGGATCCCACAAGAGCTCTGCTTGGTACTGCGATTTGTATTGACCAACTCTTTATTTTTCCCAACTTTATGAGTGAGATTTTTCCCGGGGATGAATTCTATGAAACGTCCTGTGGAAACAAGCTTTAAGTCGAGGGCTTTAAAAATGAATATGATTTTTTCAATGAGTCCGACTTAAATTTATAGAAGCCTCCCGCGATAAAAAAAATTGCAGCTAGGCGTTTTTGTGATCATGGAGGCTAAAGCGCCTTCAATTTCTTGTCTGCAACACGGGCATCCCTTGAGTTTGAATAGTTGTATTCAGGCGATGCTTTGGAGGACAGTGTAGTACAAGGTGTGTAGGTGTAGTAAGAGTGTAATACTTAAATTGTAGAGGGCATTGTGATTTTAATTTATAGTTTAATTGAGATTTCATTGGAAAAACTATTTTTAATTTTTGATTTTATTCCTATTAATCGCATGAAGAGTCTCTAATCAAGGAGATGATGCACTACTTACAATAATTGGACAATGTTAAGCAGAAAGGAACCAAACTACATCAGCCATCACTAAAAACTGGGCAATTGGAATTTTTTTAAGAGAACGTTTGTGCGTATAACTGTGAAAAGTTTTAGGAACTTGCTTTGTCCTATGATTTGATCGAACCATATTCCGCTCCATCGGTCAGTTCAAGTTCGAGGCTAACCCTTTTAACCGTTTTAATGGTACGGCTGATTCGACGGGTCAAGATGAGGATGTCCAGGAGCAGCAATTAGCATTTCTCGGTCCCGCCCATGCAGCGCGGTTCCCCGGCGTTTTCGACATACTTCGTGTCTAATTTTGAAAAATTAAATGCCCCCTCGATTCTGTATACCGTCCACGATGAGAGAACTACGACCTTGAGGTTCCCGGAGACGTAAGTGGCTTCCCGCGGAAAAATGATAGCACCGCGTGGTGAATCTAAAAATTCTGACATTTAATATTACATCAATCACCCACCTGTGCCGCCCAACCTGATACCACGCGCACGGGATTTTTAACTAGCGATGAGGAATATAATTTTATTGGTGGAATTAAAATCTTTCGGGAGCTTAATTATTTCGTCCGCCGTTCAGAGAAACTGGAAAAGCACAATGCGTGTGGACACAATCAAATTTTCAAAATCGAGGTGACCATAAAGTAACTACGAGACATCTAAATTGCTTCTAGGCGTTCGTCACATGATTCTTAACTGTACCATTATAATTTGGAAAAACGCAGTATGAGCCTTCAGACGTTGCCAAATTTATTGTAATAAAGTGCAGATTTTCCTTGAATGTTGTAGATATTTTCCCTCCAATTTTTTGGTCAATTTTCTTCGAACTTCGATGCAAAGCATCTGAAAATTTTATAGGCAAAAATATATGGACCGCTAAGCAGAAAGGAACCAAGCCACATCAGCTATTGCCAAATTTAACTAGATAATTTAATTTTTTTCCATGAAAACAGTTGTGCGGATTTTCGTGCAAATTTCAGTGAATTTTTTGGATAGTACAAAGCAAATTCCCTGAAATTTTCAAAGGAATCTGCACAAACCTTCCTTTGTAAAAAATTAAATTGCCTCGTTAAATTTGGCAATAGCTGATGTGGCTTGGTTCCTTTCTGTTAAACTCGGTCCATATATAACTATCCTAAAGAATTTACTTGTTATCGGGGGGCGACTTGGCAACATTCGAATGTTTAAGCGGCGTTTTTCTTAGCACGGCGTCGGCGGGGCGTGAGTTTCTATCTCGATTATGAAATCTGAAATATCTATCAAATCTTTCGGTATTAAAATTGGTCGTATTTATGCTGAAAGGAACTATATTACATGTAAACCGTATGCACATAGTTCCTTTTAGCATAAATACGTCCAATTGTCCTTAAATTTTTATCTCCAGATCAGTTCGTATCTAATTCTGAGTCCGTGTCACCAGCCGCTGATTATCACCATAAAAATGAGATACCCCACCCCCCTCTCACCACCTTTGTATGTAAATAAAACCACAATGTGAATTTTTTATTCAGTTGCGAAATTGCATAGCCCCTCGGCTGAAATGGTAATATCGAAGTTCTAAGGTGGTATTCGCCAAATCTGTACTTCGCAACCGGCTACCTGATTTGTGTTTTTGCCAAGGGCATTATAACGAGCATTCATGAAATGTTTTCAATCGTAAAATGTTGCTCACAGCATCATACTAGCTGTTGTTGAACAGCTTTAACAATATGCTCGAATGAGTCCTGTTGCACATATCACATATCCCTGTAAGTATCTTCATCGAAAAAGGCACTCACTACCTATTCCTCAAATGTCCGGTCCATTTTCAATTTTCATTGGTTGCTAAAACATTTAGTAGGATGATTGTGATTAGTATTCGTTCTTTTAAAACTGTCTGAATTTCCTCACAGACTTCGCCTGAAACATATGAAAATCAATATTTCATGGGTTTGAGTGGTGGGTTCTCAAAAGTACGGCTACTTAAGAAGAATATATTGTGTTTTCACATTCAAGACAATAATATAATCTCCAAAAGGCTACTTCTTTTTCATTTTGTGATTTTCTGTTCCCTTTTTTATTTTCTGTTGATTTCCGGTTTGTATTCAGCCTGGGAGTGCACAAGATTAATTTAACCTAACCTAATCTTGAAACATACTGAATTTAGTTTAGTGCCCAAGTTTATTCAAGTAGATGTTGGGTTTTTTCATGGAGGAATTTCGAAAAGGCGATCCCAAAAAATGCCTATTCCTCTTTCATGATTTAAATTTTGAAAATTTCAGTGTGTCCGCTTTGTTTCACGTGAAATTTTGATTAAAAAACGGGTATCATTATATTATCTTTTTAATCTTATACCTTTAGTTAACCATTGGCTAACCAGAAAAGACTCTACAAAAATAAATAAATAAGTAATGAAATTCCTATCTTAACTTTCCGGCTTTCAATCGATTCTCATTAAACAGCTGTTGGTTGTCGAAGTTAACATCAAATTTTCATGCAAATTTCATATTAATATGAAATCAATAAAAATTGGCCATGAGGTTAAAACAAAATGAAAATGAAATTAAAAGACTACAGTGCAAGGGCTAAATTCGTCTCACGTATGGTCCATAGAGAATACCCATAAACTCAACAAATCATTATAGAGCATTTCAAAGTTAGAGGACAATGAATCGCGAATTTGTTAAAAAAAAAAAAAAAAAAAAAAAAAAAAAAAAATGTGAAAGTCGCCGGCGCTGTTGTCAACTTTAGAAACGATACAATACAAACGCTATAAACATTATTAAAATATGCAAATTATATTAAAAACAGAAATAAAATTAACTCCGCTCCACCATGCCGCTTAATTGTGGTGGGACGCAAAAAAGTGTCACTCAGTGCGGTGAGAATTCACTGAGGACAGTCATTGACTCAAGCAAGAACGTCGTTTGAGCATTTGAATGTTGCTAAATTTCCCAAGATAAAAGTTTTATTTTTAAAAAATGTTAGGCATATTTTCCCCTCAAAATTCAAAATACCCCAGACTAAAATGCGAGTAAAATTTCCTTAAAAGTTGGAGGGAAAATATCCGCATCTTTCCCTGAAAATTTGTATTCTATCAAAGGAACTTTGGCAACGTCTGAAGGTTCATACGGCGTTTTATTTTGGCACGTCTGGACTGTTATAAAGTGCGAAATTGGAACGGTTAGGCACTATCTCCATCTGCAAAAAGGGCTGAATCACAAAGTTTGTGACTTTCGCAATTACTCTTTTTTTCCTCGAAATATCTTGAATTTTTCTTCTAATTTATTCTTGAGCATTAGCATCGAACGTTAGATTATACTATCTATGTTTTTATACCGATTGGGTTCGTTTTCTGCAGTGAGCAATTTAAATTTCCTTTTAGAGGCGCATTTGGACTTTATTTTGCAATAGAGTCAGTCATTCTCAAAATGACTTAAGCACCAGAAGTGAAAACACGAGAGAAACAGTAAAAACCGTTTAAATCAACCCGTTCTGAAGCTCAGAGCTCTAGCATATGAAAGCATTTAATTAATTAATCACCTCATGTGTACAGGGCCGGATTTACCTACTTGCCGCCCATGGGCCGCCTGTATTCTTCCGCTCCCTTCTTATTAGTTTTGAAACATCAATAAAAACCATCAAGTGAATGTGAAGCGGGGAGAAGAAACATCAATCGTTTTGAAACAAGGCCTTCCATTTATAAGAAATGAACGAAAAAATTATGAAAGAACAAACTGACCGCACTGTGCTTGACGCAATGCGTGAAACATTCCTACAGTCAAATAGGAGCTGTGCATTTCACACCGACCGCTTCTGAACGCATTGTGTTTGACGCAATGCGTGAAGTATTCATGCAGTCTAGTAGGCGCTATGTGTTTCAAGCCGACAGCTGCTGACCGCAGTGTGTTTGACGCAATGCGTGAAGTATTCATGCAGTCTTGTAGGCGCTATGCGTTGCTCATCTGTAAAGACACTTATCGACGGCGTCAGTCCGCAACCACGTATCTCGTTAGCAGTGTTTGAAAGTCTCCGCTCCAATTTTATTTTTTTTGAAAGAGAACGAATTGACATCACCCCTTTGAAGTTTTTGCAGAATTTTCTTCGCACTGAGGGGACAAATCACGGCAGTTTTAAAGAATTGCCGTTGAGTAGTTTTCCGTTGAAAAAGTGAAGTATGACAGGAAGTCTACGACGTCGCAAACCGAGTTATGTTGATTGCCGACTTACACCGTCGATATCTTCTTAATACAAAACGTAAATGTTTAGAATTGGCTCGATTGGTTTTCTCGTAAAATTAGTTTTAAGCAGCACTCCTCAAAATGTATACTATGACAAAATAAACATCAAAATTTGCAGTTTTAGTAAAAATCTTCATTTCTGACCACTCCAAACGACTCGTTTCACTGATGCGGTTTTGACCTCATACTCTCCTAAATCCTAGCCATTTTGATGAATTATGCATGAGCCTTTATCTCACTGTTGCAGTTGTTCAAAAGGCTGAAGCACGAGGTTCCGAAATACCACCATAAAGTCTCGGCCATCGTCGGTGATTGCTCCCTGCCGGCCCTAGGGATCAGTCAGCAGGACAGGGATCGCCTTATTGAGGAGGTCAACATCATCTTCCACGGCGCGGCCACTGTCAGATTCAACGAACCACTCAAGCAAGCCCTCAAAATCAACGTAGAGGGAACCAGGAGTATTCTCCAACTAGCCAAGCAAGTCAAATGTCTCAAGGTGAGTTCCTATGCTTCATCTTGTAGTATGTAATGAAAACGTAGATAAAGCTCAAAGGAACAGTCTATTGGGGAGCCAAGTAAACTCCCTGGTCGCTACGTGGCCTATCCCGTGGGGATGCTTTGCGCCAAATGAGCAAGGCTATATGGACCGCGTTTAACAGAAAGGAACCAAGTCACATCAACTATTGCCAATTTTAACTGGGCAATTTAATTTTTTACGAGAAAGCATTTGTGCGGATCCCTTTGAAAATTTGCCTCGCACTATGGAAAAAATTCACTGACATTTGCACGAAAATCCGCACAACTGTTTTCATGTAAAAAATTTAATTAGCCGATTAAATTTGGCAATAGCTGATGTGGCTTGGTTCCTTTCTGTTTACTACGGTCCATATAATACAGTCAAAAAACGATTGAACGAGACCTATTTTTACGGATTTGGTAGTTTTTTTGGCTTCATAGTGAAGTGAAGTTTTTGAAAGTAGGTTGTCCTGTTGCCAAGGTATTCATATTTGCCTCCTACATGATGTCTGTACTTTAAGCCCGAAACACACAAGTTTCCCTATCTTTGAATGAGTTCATTGAAGTTAACGTCGGTAAACCTCACCGGCTACTGATTGTCAGAGCAAAGACCATTATGCAGGATCGTGCCGAGAGCGAGGTGCTCGTGTCCGAGCAGCATTTCGAGTTCAAAGCGCCCTCAATTAAGACAAATACAACAAGTTACTCGGCGAGGTCATATACTCGGCAGCCATTGGATTTCAAACAAGGAGCAAATACCTCGCTGTTGAATGATCATGTATCATGTGATACGTAATATTACGAATTGTAAAATATAAAATACGATCGATAGCTGAAGTTAGAATATGTGCATCTCTGACATCGGCGCTGAAAACATGCACGCTCATGTTTCATATGTTTTCCTTGAAAACTAGCTAATATTGTATTTTTACATTTTAATTAGATTTTCTTCGCCCTTTCAGAATTTTTACATTAAACATTACGTTCCAAAGATATATATATTTTTCAATAGAAAAAGCTCTCGTGACCCCTCCCCTCTCTTAATAAAAAATCATGATACCACATTTCGAAACGTTGCAATAGGACGCATTTAAAATCTTCAGCTAGAGTCCACGCTATGTACGTTTACGCACTTTTAAAATGCGACGGCATTTTTATTTTTTTATACTATTTTTTTTTTTTTTTTTGAAGTGTTGATCAAGCATAACGACTATAATCCCTATCGCATTGGTGTGCGTAAACATTACATGATGAGGGTATTTGTTTTATTTTCTTCATGACTTCCTTTTTCTTCTCGTTTTCCTTCTTCAAATACCTTCTTTTTTTCCTCCATTTTTTTCAATCCCCATACAGTTCCTATAAGGGCACCGACCTTCGTCGTTAAAAAACTCTTCGATTTCCACCCAGGTGCGTGCTAATACACCTTTGATCGCGTTTTTTACCAGCTTTCTCGTAATCTTGTGACCGGTAAATTCCGAATATTTATCCTACAATTTTTCCCCCCTATTCTACATGAGTTCACGCAATGAATGAAACTGATCAATGCAATTTCCTATTTACAGTCAGTCGTTCATGTTTCAACGGCGTTTGCAAACTGTCCGAACAAAGAAATAGACGAAAAATTCTACGCTCAGCCGAAAACCTATGAGGAAATACTTAAATCGGTTAAAGATTGCACTGACGAAGAAATTGAAGCGGATCTACCCAAGTAAGTTTGACCGACCTCGGTCTGTTTTTATTTATCAACGCAATTGAGTGAATGCCAAAAATGAATTGTAACAATCAGTTGATGAGAAAATTGAAGTATTGAGCTTTTGAAATATACTAATGAGAATTGTAATTAAAATAACTTATTTTTCAACAAATCAGCTCCTCTGAAGCGATAGTCTTCTCAAATTCTAAGGCGCGCATAAAAATATCCGTAGTTTTCAAATGGTATGAAGTTTTGATGGTAAAGAGCTATTTTATGACTATCATTTTAGGGTTAAGATTAGCGTAAAATAAACAAAATTGAAATTTCTCAAGTTAAGATACTTTCGAATCTAAAAGTCAGAAAAATTGGTTGATGGACAATCACGTGAGTGGGAATGTACACTGCTCAAATGCTTTTCTGGAAAGCTGGGATTTTATCCCATCTTGTATCCGATCTTCCTGTTGTCATGCAATTTAAAGAGTCTCTTTGGTATATGTATGAATCTTGCCACATTTTTTCCGATTGAAAATTTACTTCTAAGGAAAATTATAAATACTTTCCTTTCACCTCATCGGGCACAGAGTCAATGCCACTGCTTTACTCTCCAACACGTAGAGATAAGCGCTTATTTTAAAGCAGCTATATAGGACCATACCGGGTTTACAGAGCATGAGTCCAACATGACCCAAACATTAATTTTCGTCCTAAAAATTAAAAATTTTGTCCAAAAAAAAAAAAAAAAATCGTCCATTAATTATCGTCCTCAAAAAACCTAGGCTCGTGGTCTTCAGACGCTTTAATTTTGGTGTAACTCTTTCGGACTCCAAATTTCTGGGCAAGACATAGTTTTTATTGTATTGAAACTTTATTTGCCACTTCTAATTTGTGCCAAATTTTTTCTTACGACAGGTTTATTGGGAATTGGCCAAACACGTATACATTCACCAAAGCTACCGCTGAGAACGTAGTTAAAATCGAAGGTGCAGGATTGCCACTGGCAGTGTTCCGACCAGCTGTTGGTAAGTAAGCTGTCGTGCGTTTATAAAGAGCACGAGTTCTTATATTGTGGAATTAATGACGCTAGTATCAATAACTTTCAAAAAGCAATATTCCAAAACACTGAAGTAAACTGTTGAAACGTTCGTTTAGGTAACTTTTTTTGGCTATTTTTCAAAGTAAAATTCAGCTCTACAAATGTAATTTACGTAGTTACATTTACTAGTCTCTGAAAAAAAATACCTACTTTGTGAGATATCTTTTAACATTTTTTGAGGGAAACAGGTGGGGAGCAAAATTTTCGAGAATTCTGAAATCTTTTAATACTTTTTCAAGTCTTTTGTCACTTTTTACTCTTCAAAACCATTATTTTTACTGATGTCAAAATTTTCTCAACTAGACTCGAAATTATGTGTTTCTAAAGGTGAATTTAAACTTTTTTCCTATTACCTAACATCTTTTTCTTGGTTGAGGGGTGGGAGAGGTATGCGTCCTGTCCCCCCCCCCTTTTTACCCAAGATAGCATTTACTTTAGGGGCGCTAAACAATAAGTTCAACCTAGGGACGCTAAAATAGTGGATTCGGTCCTGTTTAAAAAACATGTTCACACTAATTTTTCGATTTAAGGCGGATTAGGTATTGATGTCACAGAATTGAACTAATTTCTATATTTTATTAATCGCAGTAATAACGACGTACCAAGAACCAATCCGAGGCTGGATTGATAACTTGTACGGACCTGTTGGTTTGATCATCGGTGCCGGAACTGGGGTTCTGCACACATTTTACCTGAATAAAAAGACTGTCACAGACATGGTTCCTGTGGATTTGACTGTTAACTCGCTCATCGCCACAGCATGGAAGACTGGAGAAACTGCAAGGTAAACAGGTCGACTTTCAAACATTTAAGAGTGGATTTTTTCAGTTTTTCAATTGAGTCATTCTCTGTGGAAACGAGCTTCTCAATACTACTCAGATTGAACATATTATGTGCTTAATTTTCAACTGAACATTAAAAAGGTCCTACTGGTAAATGCCATTCCTATAAAATTAACCGTTTTTTCACTAATCTTTCCAGTAAACTTATGGGCAAAGCGTATGTTTAGTTTGCCATACAAACTTTAAATGAATCTGCATGATCTGAGCAGCACTGCAAAACACACACGTGATCTCTGCAAAGAATGTCATAGTTCAGAAAAAAGGATTTAGGGTAAATGTAAGAAAAAAGAAACGAAATATCAAGATATCGTCATCCATGTCGATTAAGATAGCTTGCGCTCTATAAAACACTTGCCCACCTATCTTTAGAACCGAAAATTTTTGCAACGTAACCAGGGCCGGATTAAGGGGGTGGCCACATGAGCCGCGGCCCATGGCGGCAAATCTAAGTGGCGGCAAAAATTTGAAATTTTTTTACCTGTAGGTATTAAAAAAATCGGATTTAGGCAAAAGAATTACAAGCGAGAAAAGGCGACAAAATCTCTCATTTACTGAGAGTATAGTAATTTCTAATTTTGTCGTCTCTTAGTGAGACAAGAGACAGTACCTTCAATTAGTCGAGTTAAGAGCTAAAACACGCAATTTGGCCTGGAACGGCGCGACTTAGAGAGAAATGATAACGAGGACTTGAGATGAAAAGGAGAAGCCCTCGGCGCGGCGATCGGCATGTAACACATGTTAGCGCCCACAAGAATGCATGAATACTTCACGCATTGCGCCACAGTGCGGTCAGCGTGAAACGGATGGGCCTACAAGACTGCGTGAATACTTCACGCATTGCGTCCAACACAATGCGTTCAGCAGCGGTCGGCGTGGAACGCATAGCGCCTACAAGACTGTCTGAATACTTCACGCTTTGCGCCAAACACGGAAGGCCTTGTCCACACAGAGATAGGTTTACGAAACTTAACTTTCGCGCAAAGTTCCGTGAACTTTTGCCAGTAGCGTTGACAAGGCTTTCCCAAAAAATGTGTTAAATACGAGTAAATGCGTCTTTTGCACCCCTCCCCCGCTGGCACGTTCACTTGATGGTATTTATCGAGTTTCAAAACGAATGAGAAGAGGGCGGCAAAATGCAGGCGGCCCATGGGCGGCAAGTAGGTGAATCCGGCCCTGAACATAACAGTGTTAACTGTAAAAAGAACCTTGTTAAGAAAGGGTCAAAATGCGCTCTCTTTGAAGGCCCTCGATTCGGCCAGCGAAACCTGCGCCAAATCGAAGCTTAGGATACCGCAAATTCCAGGAAAAAAGTTCAGCTTGAGTTGAAAAGCTGTTTCGCAGAAACAAGGAGGCGAAGTGGGGGGGGGGGGAGGTTTGGGTTGAACGGTTGGCCGCGCGCTCTTTCTACAACAGTTCCTCAATAAAACTTCGTTTTTAGGTCTTCTTCTTCTTCTACCTTCTGACTAGGGCCGTGACCCTGTTTGTCTAGCCTCTAAATCAGTACATAAGTATGATAAATAAAATATGATGGCGATGAGAGAGATCACTTAATTCTTCGGAGATGAAAGGCAGCTCTGTGTAAAGTGCAGCTGTGTGTGTCTGTTTTTAGGTCAATTATCATAAATACTTTCCTACATTGTATTTTTCGCATACTTTTCATCTCAGACCTTGAAAATTATCTAGAATCAGTATCTAGGGGGTAGGGGGGATTTTGCCTCCTAATTTTTCAATTTTTCCGAAGTTTGGATAGATTATTTAATTATTTTATTTTGGTATCAAATCAGCCAACGACAAAAACGCAGAACCGCGTATCGGTGGTCTTGCGTTCATGTACGTAGCGGTCTATAATCTTTTGTACATTTATGAGAACATTAATCAAAATATCACCTAGCAATGTTCTGTAAATATTTTGAATACGTAAGAAAAAGTCATAGAAAATTCAAGCAAACCCTTTGTTAGTCATAAGAATAGGCACACGAGCGGAAACTTATACCTTTGCGATCGGACATAAGTATTTTTTCACTTCAACCGTTGATACGCGCCTTCGCGAGTTTGAGCCTTCCAAAATCCGCGCAAGCAGGGAATTTTGCCGTGCCCGCGATTGAAGGCGTTTTCTCAATGTTGCAGGATACAAGAGACGACACCGATCTACAATTACGTGTCATCAGCACAGAATCCAGTTTCCTGGGGAGAATTCATCTCGCTCAATCAAAAAACGGGAATCCTTTGGCCAACTGTTAGAGCTATCTGGTATTATTCCTTCTGGCCGACGAACAATAAATTATTGTTTACGCTTGCAACATTTCTTTTCCACACATTGCCCGGGATTCTAATGGATTTCATATGTAAATTGACTGGACGTAAGCCAATGTAAGTTGAATTGTGAATTTCATCGATTAAAGTGTAATAGAAATTAGTAAAATGTATGCACTGCACGTAACGTCTCTTGCTGATACTTATCTCATCCGTGTTACATGAAGTCATTTGTTTCATGGATTTAGCGATATTGCAGTTAGAAAGCTTAATCTACTCAGTCGTATTTTTGCCTTCGTTCTAGTGGCTAGAGAATCAGATGGAAAAGAACAGAAATCAAAACTTCATTTCGGATTATTTAAGGGTCCGATTGCAGTTAGGTAATCGTTTAAAAAAGGAAAGAATAGTGGGGAAAATGAAAAAAGAAAAAAAAAAACAAGTTTAATGTAACTTTGTCGAAACCGGTATACATTCATCTATATACGACTGATAATTTGTATAAGGATGGATATTTTCTAGTCATCACTATTATTTTTTTGTATTTTCCTTTAGAAGACCGATAACCCCTAATTATTTAAGCCTTGAAAATTTTAGCAAAGTCATTCTCTGTAAAAAAAGCTTTCTTTTCTCATATATTGTTTTCTTCTTCCCCGGTCTCAATCAACTGAACAATCGCATATTTTATCTCCGATTATGCTTATGATGTTGCATTTTCTTGATTTATTTAAAGATTTTTGTGATCCTCTTTATTTTTCATCGTACTTTTCATTTCTGGCTCGATCGGTCGTGGTAAAAAAAGTTAAAAACAATTTTTATGATATTTTTTCAAGTATTGTGCTTAGTATTTAGATTAAATTAAGCCAGTAATATTTTGGTCGAAAAACCCTTCAAAGGTGGCTAAACATGGACGAAAAATTTCTTAGCCTCCCTGCAAGAGTTAAAATCTTACTATTTAACCCCCAAAAAATGAAAAATGGGCGAAAAATACACAGGATCAACTCCACATGGGTCAAGGAAAAAGCAACATTTTTGGAAGAAATCTCAGATAAAGTACATGATTTTTCAGAAATTTGCAGGTCCATAGCCTCGAGGGTGGTATTCCTAGAAAAAAGAATGTATGACAATAAATATCATATTTTGACCCATAGTACGCGCAGTGGCAATTTTGCAGTCGGCAGAACTGTTTTCCACCATTTAAATCTCTTTGAAAATATCGATTTTGGGCGAGGCAAGCAGCCTTATCGATTCGCTAGAATCAATGGTTTCCCATAAATTTAAATGGAGCAAAACAGTGTTGCCGATTTGCAAAAGTCGCCACTGGTATCCGCCACTGCAGTTTGGCTAGTGATCTCCCTGATACACTGTATATTTACCCAAAACTTTCTGTGTAGGACTACTTTTGTTTAAGGATGAGGCTATTCGTCGGTACGGTACCGACGGATAAATGGCTATTCGTCGGTACCGTACCGATGAATAAATGGCTATTCGTCGGTACCGTACCGCTGCTCCACGGCTTGCGAATCTTCAGCATCTGTCGCTGCCCCAACTAACAACGATCATAGTGCAGAGAGCTATTCCACCACTAGCGAATCTTCGGATTTTGTTGCTGCTCCATCTGACGAAAATGTCAGTGCAGAGAGCTTCACGAGGCTAAAATTTAAGAGTAAAGTCATTTCACGAGGGCGACCTAAACTGCCAGCAAGACAACTTTGTTCCTTTAATCGCACCGTTGCCGACCGACAATCTGTGGAAAATCCCCCCGAAAAACGAAAACGAAAGAAAACACCTGCAAATGAAACTAAAGGCCCCACCACCCGAAAAAAGAAGCGTTCTTGATGATTCTTTTGACAGAGTAGTACATTTCAGTATTATGATGATTCATTTGACAGTGAAGTACATTTCAGTATTATGATTATTTATTTGACAGAGTAGTACATTTCAGTATTATGTGAGAGTATTAAATACATAAATTAAATTTGGAGAATATTTCTTTACAACTCGTGTTGGTTTTTTTCCATCTTTCACCCAATTTTTAGCTCTTAACTTCCACCAAAATATTATTAAGAAATCATATCTTTAATATAATTTACGTACTAAAATCAAAGTACGGTACCGACGAATAGCTATTTATTCATCGGTACGGTACCGACGAATAGCTATTTATTCATCGGTACGGTACCGACGAATAGCTATTTATTAATCGGTACGGTACCGACGAATAGCCATTTATCCGTCGGTACCGTACCGACGAGTAGCCACTTCGTTTGTTTAGTTACACCCAAATATATGAATTCGTCATTGCAGGTTGGGAAAAATTTACGATCGTTTGTCAAAAGTTGGTGACACTTTGGAGTACTTTGCAACGCAAGAGTGGAAATTTACCAACTACAACGTACAGAATCTTTGGAAAGAAATGACACCGGAGGACCAAAGCATATTCTTCTTCGACATGGAGCAAATGTCATGGAGATATCAGACTGAGGCACTCTGTCTAGGTCTCCGAGTTTACATGCTCAAGGATGATGTTGATACCCTTCCTAAAGCCAGAAAGAAGTGGAACAGGTGAGTGTTTCATTCTTAATACGTCATCAGCGTTCCTTGATAATAGTTCACATCTTCGAAAAATCAAAGGGATACCATCATAAAATCAAGCAAAATAACAGTCATCTAATGCACTGTAATAATTTAAGATTGTTGATTTTATGAATGAACTCCGTTCAAATAAGTTACATTGCCTCGCCTGGGTTTTACGAGAGTCTTTAACTTTTAATTACGCCGCTTTGTCAGGAGCCACTCAAATTGGTGATCATTAAATGAACTTAGTAAGTATCCCGCATGTGTGCGTTGCATATCTGTTTTCTTCCTGATAATCGTATTGAAGCAGAGTAAAAAGGTCGTAAATTGGTCAATAAAAACGTCATTTCAATACTCTGACTCATGACGAATGTTTAAATATCTTTAAGAACTAAAATGACGTTTGAGAAGGTAATAAGGTAGTGTGTTGGAATGATCTCAATACTTTGTAGCCTTGAAAATAGGCAAACATGTTCCTCCTTACCTCACGTAGTGGCTGCGAAATAGTAGGTTACAATTTTATGTTCTATAAAGATTTTCTCAGGGAAGCGGTGCGCGGAGTTTATTATAATTTAACAATTTTAGACATAAGAAAAATTTTACATCAACATAATAATTTCAAAAATAAGAAGAGATTGGCCGGGAAACAACATTTTGTCCCTTCGCTACTATCGCTTACATCATTACTTGTTTTTCATCCCTATATCCATTGATTTTTGCATAATGGATTTGCTTTCTTATGTTTTTGCCCGTTCTTCTCATCGTGTGTTTCATTATCACATTGGAGTATTCTGTTCGATTATCATGCCGCATTGTCCTTTTTAATATTAATTTTTGATTTAGGTAAATGATCACCATATCCAACGATTTTATATTTCTGACTAAAATCTTACTGTTTTTCTAATCGCGTTTTTTTTATGTTGAACTTGAAGTTTAGGTGATTACATTAACACGAAGGTTTCTGGTATATATATATATTTTTTTTTTCAAATTTTCCCACATAATGTACATGGATCAAAAGTTATTTTGACGTTTATGATATTTTATTAATCTATGTTATACTACTTACTGTTGCAGATTATACTACGCCCACTGTTTACTGAAAGGCGCTGTCGGGCTAATCTTATGTCAAATTGCAGTATCGACATCTCTTTACATCGTTCGCAATTTCACTTCATGATATCATCCACAAAGACAAGTGTCCCTGATCTCACTCACACTAGATTGTGATAGGCAATCACTATCACCGGACCCTGGTAATATATGCAATGCAAAATTACGAATGAATACAATTTCTATGATTGGATGGTTGTTATTAGAGGACTAGTCTGGACAACCATGCACAAAGCTCTCGATGTGAAAAACACTCTTTATAAGCCGGTAAAATATCAAATTATTTACCAAATTTTGAGCCATTACTATCCATAACCATGACTGAAGTAAGCTTCAACTCCTTTGATCAATCTGGTGGGAAAGAGATCATTCATTTTATTCTTGTATCTCACTTCTACCCTCGTAAAAGTGAGTTAAATATTAGACTGACACCAGCGTGATCTTGCTGACATCAAACTGATCTGACTGACATTGGGCTGATAACACTGATTTTAGTTTGATGATATTGGCTTTAGGTAATAAAATAGTTTAAACCAGCCAAGTATTCACGGAAAAACGAGCAACTTGGCTTCTCACATGGTCACACATAGACACATTTTGTCAGTGTAAAATCGACGTCAAACTGATTTTATACTGTTTATAGACTAAAAGCGAACGAGAATTTTCAAAAATTAGCCTGATGTCACCCTAACTCAAATTTACCTGAATTTTTATTTACAACTATACTCATGATAGTTGAAGCGTAAAGAGATCAATCAATTTGATTCTACTTTGGAGAAGCAAAAGTTTACTTGGAAACCGGTGAATTTTCACTTATTGAAATAATTTAATTTTGTACTTAATCTGCGCAACATCATTCAGCCCACCATGCTAGATTGTCAGTGATACATTTATTTCTGTTTCAATACATATAGCTTAAGAGGTTGTTTAGAATACGGAATGAATAGGCCGTAAGCCCCAAATTATTTCGATACCATAATGCTTTAGTCTCTTTACCTTTAATTTAAAACTGTCCTTATTAATTTAAAATTGTTAGTTTTAGGTGTTATTATTTATTTAAATAAATGACTGTGAAATACTTTGAAACAGTAGCTCACTCTTTTCCTTTAAAAAAAAAAAACAAAAAAAGAACTGTTTTTAATCTAGTTTTTCCTGTCAGAAGTAGTTATTTTACTCTAACGATCAAAAAATAGAAAATCTAGCAACAGAAATTTTCATCCCATGTATAAGCTTTTGATTGTGAAACTGAATATTTAATTCATGCAGCAAGTTTCTCTTCTAAACAACGGAATAGAGCAGTAGTATAGAGAGTTTCATAAAAACGGGACTATTGAGATAATAAATTCGATATTCTTTCAGTTCATTATGTCTTAAAAATGGCAAAGAAATATAAATTTTAGGTGAGAATTTAATGTTTGATGGAAGATTAGCGAGAAAGAAATTCACTATCGAAAAATATGAAATCGAGATATCGAATCGTCCCGATCTATTTTTTTATTTTTCTAAATCCAACTTTTCCAGTTCAAAAGCGGAACCAAAAAAAAAATTCAAAGACTTATTCGTATATGTATTATTACATTGTGCAGATTCCTGGAAAGGAAACCTTTTCTATGGCTAGTTGGGATAGGTACTTACGAAAAATAAAAATGCCAAATATGACTCTTGAATCAACACAGATATACTCAAACCATCCCTAGCTTATTGTTATAGTACTTGTACCGTATAATATCAGTTCCTTTGAGAGGAATGCTTATTTCTATAAAAGCATAAATGTCTCCACGTCTTGCAATTCCACTTTATTATTACCTGGAAAAAAGTAGAATTCTGAGTTTTAGAAAAACAGGTTTGATTTCTTTTTTGTTCGGACCAGGCCAAACAGGTCTAGGTATCAGTGCGGCTCATGCAAACAAAGGTGCCATGTAAAATATATCTGAGTGTCAGATGACGTGTGGTTTAGAAAAGTTTCGTTTTCAAATGGACGCAGCGAAATCATACTAAAACGATTTAACGACTGAACAACTCATTGTGTTTGTCACATAGGCGTATAATTCTTTTAGTCGGTCCATACTGCTTTCTGCAATTCTCACTTTTCAACAGCCTTTTCCGGGTATATATTTAGAAAAAAATATCATCCATCCTAGAAACATAGTTTTTGGGTAGGTGCCACATCGCAATCACGAGCACGACACACCATAAGAATAAAAGCCTAAATCCAAACTCCATCTTTATTATCAAAACTTGGCAACTTTGGCGCGGTCATTTTCCTCACCTGATCGCTCAAGTCACTCTCGTCTTGCAGTTCTTCAAAAATGTGCTCCGACTTGCCCCCTTCGCGCTGTTCATTGAGAAAATTACTCATTTAATCATGTCCTTGCACTAACGCTTATCATGACACTGAATAATTCACTTTCAGACCAACGAAGTGCTCGTAAGTATAGCTGGCATCGAGCCTTGGCCAGTGACCCTTATTTAATTCTATCGGATATTGCTCTTAACTACAGAATTTTAAATTGTCATCCACTGTTATCATATTCTTGACATTCAGTCTTCGGTGCTTAAGTACACACGGAAAAATACAACATTATCAAAGCTTGTGTTATAGCTGATAAGTTCATCATAACCTCTGCAGCTCATCATACGCTCTGTCTCACACGTGATTCATCAAAGCATTATCTTGCGCGGTGACTAGAGTGCATTCAGTGGCATGGCGTGCTTTGCGATTTATTGATTGCTATGCCATTTAAACCTATGGAAAAAGATCGATGAACAGGGTGTTCGCAGCGAACACCTTAATAATCGATTCTTTACCATAGGTTTAAATGGCATAACAATCGATATATCGCAATTCACGCCACGCCACTAGTGCATTTATATCAAATACAAATACAAAGGGCACCTTATTATACTTTAGCTAGGTGCTGGAAAAAATACTGAAGTAATAAATTGGGAGATCGGAGATAGCTACTGATATAAAACACATGAATTTTAAACACATGGCAGTCATCACGGAGATAAACCATATCCTTTTGCTTTATTGTTTTATTGGCGAATAATGAGGTGTGCGAGAAAATTTGGGAGTCTGTGGAAGACACAAAATTCACAGGAAAAACGCTTTATTTTGACTCAAAGAATGAGCTCTTGTGTGGTATCAATAACAGTGGCGATTCTGAGGAGTTGGCAACACCGTTAATACTCCATTTAAGTCCATCGATTATATCGATTCTATAGGCGAGACATGCAGCGTTACCTAGATTCGATTGTTTAACACAGATTTTAATGGTGAAAAAACATTGTTGCTGTAACTTGCAAGAATCGCCACTGATTGATGGTTGACCTCTAGGTTAGGACACTATGTTGCGATCAATAAAGAGGCTTATCAACTATTTAGTAAGTTTCTGAAGAGAGGAGGGAGTCTGAGCGTTAGTCACAAATTCTTCAGAACGGGGGAGGGAATGAAGCATAGTTTTATGTAAGTCTTTTACCTGAAAAAAACAAATCCAATAAAAATGTTTTTTTCAGCTCTTTTTCAAACTCCCCTATTTTTCTGATCGTGGAAAGCGGCCAGGCCGGTTTTACCTGATTGCAGAGGGTGGGCGAGACTTTGTCTCGCGGGTGCTCAGGGGGAGGGGGGAGGGGGTAAAAATCGGTCAAAATGCCTTACGTAAAACTTGATCGGCCTCTTACAAGTCGTTTGCTTTCTTAGCCTGGCGTTTAAGTCTCCTGTGATATTGGAAATCTGTCGTCGAAAATGCCTGAATTTATAGTGAGAAAACTTTGCCTAATGAGCTCAAATGACAGGGAGAAGAAGCTTTTGGGGACAAATTCGAGTGAACACGTCAAATTAGATATGGTCTTGCGGGATTACTAGGATAGCATGTTAAATTTTAAACATGCTAGTGCGCGTGTATAAAATAGAATCTACGCTAAAACAATAGCATTAACATGCGTAGAAGGAATTCTCCAGATCAAAAGCAACTGCTGCTCTTATTTATGATGGGTTTCCCTTCAACTATCTCGTCTTTAATCTTGTTTTTCAGTTCTGCTACCCAAGTAGCTACTGTATAGGACAGGACCGCTCAAAATTTAGATTGAAGCCAAAAATTTTAAGATACAGAAAAAAAACAAAGTCATACTTGAGGAAATTATTAGTATTAATGGATAAAGAGGTAATAAGGAAGGGAAACTGACATCCATATTTGATGATGATGTTTTCTTTTGACAAGGAAACGATCTCATGGTTTTCCTAAACGGACCAAAATACAAAGAGGGCAAATAAAATCAAGGCGCTTGAAAATGACCTAAATTTAGGACAAATTGACCACAAACACTAACGCGCCTAATGATAATGTTGAATTTCTGAATAACAGCAAATTCGGAATCATTGCTATCAATGTCAAACTATCTCTCGGATTCAAAAATTGATCTTTAATGCCTCAATCCTCAAATCGTCTATGCAGAAGCTCTCACGAGGACCGGTTGAAAAGATTAAGGAAAACCAGCTGTGAAAGATAAAGTATTCCAGTTTTTGAATCCTCTAATCAACGAAAGACAGGCGCGATTCCAAAATTAACGGTGACCTTGAACTTAAACCTTCAGAGCTCGTTCGCTATCAAGAAGCTGGTGGGAGGCTTAATTCAACGCGACTTTGCTTCATGTCATTTTAGTTCTATACCATGTTTGATTGGGTCTGATGGAAAAATTCATCAAATATTGAGGTATCCGTATATAGAAAGTTATTTCCACGGGGTGCAAAACACGGAGTGTTTTCGTAACGAACTGAACGGGGACTGAAACATATTTTGAATTTTTCCGGTTAAAGGCAGACACTGCCGTGCTAAGGAAGAACACCGTATGAGCACTCAGGCGTTGCCATATATTCCTCGATAATGAACTAATTTATTGAGAAAGTTCTGAATTACTTTCCTCCAATTTTTCAGACAATTTTTGTTCGCAATTTTATCTAAAATATCTGAAATTTGTAAGGAAAAATTGGAATAACTTACTTTAAAAATACACGGTTTAATCGGGGAAATTTGGCGACTCTCGAATGTTTATACGGCGTTCTTCTTTTGCACGGCAATATTGTACGTGGCATCGAACATATCGATGGCAAAATGAAAAAAAACGTATTTCCGTTGCAGCATTTAAAAATTTCCGATTTTGTTTTATTTTCCCAGGGGAAAACTAATCAAAATTCTCCCTTGTAATTTTGTGTGATTTTTTTAGAATAGGTGAATAATCTTCACAGAAAATTTCAATAGAGACGGTTGGTGAATTTCCCTTTGAAAAAATATAACACGAGTGGAGACTTATAATGTCGCAATCAGAGGTACGCACTTTTTGACTTCAGCCATTCATAATTTGATTTTTTCTCGATCTAAGACGCATAAGAAACGGCGTTGAGCGTACTGTGTAGGGGGAAAAGTGCAAGCAGGAGGGAGTGAAAAATAAGACTAATAATGCGAGGCTACTTTTTCCTCTCCAAAAATACGTTTCCTTCTAAGAGAGAAAAATACTTAGTTTTCCTTAACTACTACAAGTTTCTACGAGGAAGCAAAAATGATATCAGGTTGAGAACAGCATTTGAACGTGATTTTAGATAATTTGCGAGCTGATTATTGAAAGTGATAGATAAACCGATAGACAGGAAAGGCATGGGGCAACAAAAGTGATCTTATTGGTGGAAGTGGATGGTTGCGATGAACAAAGGAGGTGAATAATAAGTAGACTAACTAATGGCAACCCACAAGAAACCATGTAATTAGTCCATCATTTTCACCCTTACTCTTTAGGAACCGACCGACCTTATTCTTCAACCAATTGGATCGCTCGATTTTTTCGTCGTTTTCTTTGTCTATTGCTTTGCCTATCCATTTGATCAATTAGCCTGCTGTTCACGTTCCTATTTCAAATTTCATTTCCAGCTGTTGTGTTTTATTATTGAAGCAAACACGAGATGCAGTTTCTGTGAATCTAATACGATTTGGAAAACCCTAAGTGAGAAACCAAACTAGAGAGCGGTTAGAGTTGAGGCCAGAAAATTATAGCTGCTCCTTTCAATGTTATGCATACGTCGATGATTTAATCTTTC